TCTTCTTCACGCTTACGAAACTCTGCAATGCAGGACTCCAGTTCCTTTACCTTCGCACTACGGTTTGTGTAGTCCACTGGGGCTGGAAATGGAGTGGTAACACCAGCAGTAGCAGCATAGGACTCTCGCAACGCACGTAGGTGTCGCAGAGGCTCCTCAATGGTGGGAAATAACTGATGAAGAAGATCAAACGTGGGAATGACAAAGTAATCCAGAAAAGGAATTTGTGATCGTTCCACCGACGATGGACGGTCAAAGCCAGGTGTCACCGGCAACCCACGTCGCCGCTCATCCTCCGCCTGCTCCGCAAACTCATCTAGTACTACTAGCCACTTCTTTGCTATGGTCAAACCACGTGAACTGGCACCAATGTCAGCTGCGTGGAGAATGAGGGAGAGCGCCTCAATTCGATCTTCCGACGAGGTGCAGTCAAAACCACCACTGCCAACCTTAGCTCCCCATCGTAGCATGCTCTCACGATGTACACTCATATCTGTGTGCGCGATGAGTCGCGTTACAATGTTTTTAAACTCCAGAAATGAGGTATCGTCCATCGTACTGGTAATATCAAGCTCAGGTACTGTCAGCAATTCAAACGCCGTTGCAGTGTGTAGTTGCTCCAACGTACCTCGTCCACAGTAGCGAAAACTTACAGGATCGTGCACAGCGGCCAGAAACGCATTCGTTCGGCCTGGGTGGCGAACATCATGTGTCATGGCAGCAAACGCAGTGGCTTTTCGTTCCAACAGTGTCATCTTCTCCATTAACGGCTGAGCAGCCGTTACGAGAGCAAACACACCCTGCAAAACATCTGCCGCATGCGCCGCATTATGGTAAGGATTCGGCCTGTAGTTATTCTCCACCACCGCTGTCAGTTGCGCCCATTTTTGCATCTCATCATCAGTAGAAAACAGACTCCAATGCATAGCAACCGCTGAAGCAACTGTTTGCAATACAGAGGGAACTCGTGCAGCCACCTTTAACGTGTCAAAATCCCAATCAGACAAACTCACAGATGGACCCAGTGCGCCGCGTGGTTTAGGAGGAACAACAGACAACACAGTTTCTCGTACAAT